TGACGTTTTGGGATCCAATTTCGGCTACGCGTCGCTCGTTGATCAATTTGGGAGTTACACCCGCCCCTGCAAGGGAAGAGGAAGAAAAGAAAACTATCTTCTCCTCTTGTTCATGCGAGAGATCTCGCAATTGAAAGCGTTCTCTTGTAGGGTTGTAGTAAACAAGAAAAACCGCAAATGGATTTGAAGCCTAATCCTATGCATCTATTTTGGAAAATAAGTCCAACCAGCGCCTATCGAGCTCCCTCATGGAAGCATTTACCCTCCCTAGGTTTACCAGCTCCTGAGGTAACTTATTCCATGAGTCGACCACCCTGTTGCTGAAGAAGTCTGAGTGAACCGCTAGTCTCGTGCGCAATTTCTTCAGTTTATAAATGTGCCCCCAAGTGTTACTATGCAACCTGTCGAAGAAAGCTACCCGATCAGTCCCTGGTAGGAGATTCATCATTTTGAATGTTTCTATCAGGTCATCTCGGAGTCTTCTTGTTGGAAATAAGAAGACTCTGAAATCCGGCAGTCTTTGCTTATACGGCTTCCCTCGCCGCCCTTCGATCATCCTTGTGGCTAATCGTTGGACCTCTCGAGAAAAGTGGCGTCCTTTTTGAAGAAAGGAGTCCAGGTTTGCGTATAATACTCTAGATGCGGTCGAACAGTCGCCTTGTATAGGGGTACGAATACCTCCGGCTTACTACATGTTAGTGCGGATCGAAGTCTAAAAAGATCTCTACGGGCGCGATGCGCCGTTTTGGCAATCTGGCGTGCCCATTTTTAGTCCGCTGTATCTATGATCCCTAAATCTTTAGCTTTTTGCTTCATTCCTAGTGAAAGACCGCCGCAGCTACTCCCCACGACCAGCCCCTCATCTGGAGTGGTCAAGATATGGCTCTTTCCTACGTTGACAGTTAAACCCTATGTACTTGGACACGTGAGCACTTTACCTATGTCCCTTGTTAAATCTGTTATCCTGTTTAATCCAACCGTCTTGACGTCGTCCGCAAATATAAAGCAAGGCGAGCCAATGCGCTCAGGAAGAGCAAGAACCAATTGTGAATGTTTTCCTTCATCCCTAGAGCATCTATCTCGGCCAGAAGTAAGCGATGACACACTGAGTCAAATGCTTTGCTTTAGACCAAATAGCATACATCCAATTCCTTACTTTCATCTAGTCTCGCTTTGAATTCATCTAGGAAGTGCAACCGATTGCTGAGACACCAGTTTCCTTTAAGGAACACGTTTGCCTCCCTAATAGATCAACGAGTAGCCGAAATTGGATCCCAAAATGTCAACAAAATAAACCATCCAGAAAGCTTCTACGGTACTGCATTATTTGACGATCAAATAAGCAAATAAAATCTGTACAAACCTCTAAGTGATCTCAAAAAAACTTGAAAACAACAGCTAAGTGTTACTGTAAGCGTAATTCAACAAATCGGAAAGGAAGAAAACGAGTCGGGATAAGAATAACACGCTCACTGTCACGATGCACTCGAACGAGTCAAATGTGAGCGGTTAGGTTGCGAATAAAACAAATAGGAAACGAATGAAGCAGAAAAACAAACAAAATCAAATACTTGAATCGATGTGTAAATATACAAAGGAAGTGGAACGTCAAGTGTCTGTGTATGTATGAGGCGGATGGTGTTAGGTAAATGGAAGATGAAATTCCTGAAATTTGGAACCAAGATGGATTGACTGGGATTTACAGGAAGGATTTTCACAGATCGATCAATACAATCCGTGCTATGCTGCAATCAGCAGGTGGCGCTGAGTGAGTTATTCGCCTATATGGGTTTGGATTATCCTTGCAAAAGCCTTGCACAAGATACTCGTGGAACTTACTGGACGATAATTCTCCACTTTTGTATCGATCCCACCATGTGTATGGCGGTCACAGCTGCAGTTTTCCAGGCTTTTGGTATTCCGCCCTGCTCTAGAGTTTTGTTATACAGATGGCAGAGTGGACCACCTAGAACTTCGGTTATGTGTTCAACTAAAGCTGGGTGGATGCCATCTGGTTCGGAAGATTTGGTGGCGTTAAGCTCACCAAGCATCCAACGCACCTGTTCCAACCCCACCTGTAATTCGGGATACACAGGCCAGAGGCGTGAAGGTCAGGTTGTGTAGTAATGAGTCGATCCATCCTAGACACGCTTTTGAGATAGTCCTTAAATAGCACTGCTATGTTCAACTCATGGGTTATTACTTCGCCATCCTCCAATATCAGAGACCCTACCTTTTCACTGAGCCCTCCCTTAGATTGGACATAGCGGTAGTACCTTTTCGGCTGGTATTTGGCACAATTGACCAGCTTGAGCTCATATTGTCGTTTGAGCTTCCGTTTAACTGCCACTGCTTTGCTTCTATCCCTGGTTTACTGCACCCAGGATCTGTCGCTGTCCGTTGATCTATGAGCGTGCCAGCTCCTATTTCTACGCTGTATTGCTCTCCTTATCCTCGGGCTGGTTTGTTCTTCGTTGCTGTGGGTTTCAGGGGAGCAAATTCATCCTGCAAGAGCAAGATATTTGTCTTGTTAAGGCTCCAATGTTGGTCTATCGTTGCGTTCCTGCGCTAGGGAACTACTTGAGCTCCGCAGATCGAGCTCTAAGCCTCGTTTCATCAATCGCCCAGTGGCTCCTGGACACCCTATTATTACTTTTACGGTGCAATAGACGGAGTTCTGAAGTGACAGCTACGTGGCCGCTTTCACTTAGCGATGGATGGAGGGTAATAATAACCAAATCCCCGTCTCTCACCGTCCAGAATGGACGGTCTATCTCCCTCTCTGTACCTAGTACACTCCCGGACATATTTGGGGCCCCAGAGTGCATCCATTCCAGGAATGCGCTCTCTGGTGTTCCTGTAGGCGCCCTCTGAACATCCCAGTCTATCTTTGAGAAATTGAAATCTCCTCACTATACGAACGACTTGTGAGTGTCTGTATATGTTATCAAGGGCGCCTAGGGGTGTCTGGTCATCCTCGGGTATACTTTTAGGGCTCCTGTAGACTCCCATGGTGGAGTACATCCTGTCTGACTAGAATAGCTACCCCATCCCATAAAGAACCCCTTTCCTATCCTGTCTACGGGTTGTTAATCAGCTTAAGATTGGTTCGGGTATGTGATCATTCTGAGATAACCATGTTTCAGACAGAACAATTACGTCGACCATCGTGCCCGCATCTACTGTGGCCGTTTAGTGACTCGATGGTTGCTGATGTTCGTCAAAATCTGTCACTAATGTTTGCTCACGTTCGTTTTGAATATCCATCTTAAAAGGGAACAGAACCAAAGATTGGGTTTGTGGAAAACGATGTATTCTGAATCTTTCAAATGGTTGGAAGTAGGTTTGGTTAGGCCTAGACTGTTATTTAAGCAACGGCAGCGGAAACCTGGAAGTAGATCTGATCAATGCAACGAAAGCGTGCGATACAGAGCTTACCGTGGGGAACTGTGTCGGTGCGCGCTTTTCGAACTCATTAAAAGAACGATAATAGGTCAAACAAAACTTAATCCTGGAAATGTCCAAGTTGCTACATCTAATTAGGAAACTTTCTTTGGAAGATAGCTATCGCCAAATAAAGACGATAAATGCTAAATCCTGACGGTACGCTTGATTGTGTCCGGTGGAGAAGGGTCTTTAAGTAAGAAGGAAAAACATAGCGGTAGTTTAGCTACCTGATCGAGAGGCTAAATAGCTATTTGATATCTGAACCTTGACGGTTCTGATAAGTATGTCCCGGTTATGTAACCATGTCCTGATAATCCTCAATTACGCATGACTGATTGGAAACTGAACCCGTCCTGTTGCTAATCACCAGTGTAGAGTGAAAGGGCTTTTGGTGCGTGATTTGATGATCACGAAACTTGGAGAAGTATAAGAGGCAAGAAAAGAAAACTGCCGTTGCGAAACTGTCGATTGAAGAACCGCTACAGCTGGCTTTGCCCATTCGTTTCTAATAATACATGCACTGGCTTGCAATAGTATTAGTGCTTCCTTGTCTCCTAAATAGTAATTTTCATTTACCCGGATTTTCTCCTCGGGTGTTACATTCGAGTAGACAACCCGTTTTTATCTGGACCAGAGTACCAGCGGCTACTGCCACCATCCTTTTCTTCTATCTCGGGAAGCTTGGAAAGTTTGTGGGTCCCAGTGGCAGCATAGGCTATTCTGAGTCGGTTTTTTAGATCCCATTTCAGAATCCATCCCTTATGTGAGGTTCCTCAGTAAATGCTCACTTATTATCACATTTTTTGGTAAGACCCGTTGCACCTTAGGTAGCTTCTTTGGCGGAGCCCTATTACTCTCACGTCCTGTCATGTAAATCTGCGGTCTCCTATTTGGTACCCGCACTTGTGGTTCATTGGGGACGATTTCGAACCGCCCGTTAGTGGCGCTCCACACGAAGTATGGATAGTAGCAGATCCCTATCCAGCCCGTCACGTTCGCAGCCAGCGCTCCAGACACGTGTAAGCAGTTGAAGCAATTCTTGGCGACCGAATGTCCGCCATTGGGGAAATAATCCTTAAACCACCGTACGACAACGCGTATGACGTTCTGAAGGCTGCGAGCCTTCAGTTTTACACTCCTAATGAGGAACGTCTGCACCAGCTGCTGACTCGTCATCCGTTTGGTGACAGCGCCAAGCAGGCATCTGGCACGTCAACGCACGTTGGTCCGCCCAGCAAGCGCCCACTCTAACATTGTCAGAGAGCTGTGGGTAGAATCGTTACCATATCGTGTCCAACCGACGGGAACGGCTTCGCTGGAGAACACCTCTATAGTACGCCCGATTGTACGGTGAAAACCGGAACACAACAGGCTTTTCCCGGACATCATTTTCCTTCTTTAATCTAAAAGTTTGTTCAAATTTTTACTTCAGTATAAACGCTATCTGACGTTTATTTTACACGATCGTAAGCAGCTGGGTCCTTCCGCGACAGTAATCTCAATTTTTGCTTTTGATCCGTTCTGCACGTTGTCGTGCTCGTTGTCTTTCGTTGCCTTCGTGATTTAATGCAAACTCTCCTTAGCAGATACCGGTGCGACCCCTGTGCCACGGTAACTCAATACACGGCAACAACAAACACAAGTCTTCTGGTTTAACCAATGGTAACCTGGTTGCTTGAGAGTCAAGAACCTCGTTCTGATGTTTGTCACGACTGGCCTTAGTCAACGTGCTTCACCTCCATCAACAAAGCTGCAACGATTGCAGAAAATCTAATTGCACCAGTCTGTAGTGAGAATAATTTCCCCGTTTCCACGACATCGCAAATATACAAGGGGAACAAGGATAAGTATCTGGTTTGGCTTTCACAGTTAGGACCACAGTAAAAACCAAGGCTTATCCTTCAAGAATAGAGTTCCCGTGCTATCTGCGAATATCTATAGGCCAAAGTCTACGGCCAAACGGGAATTTCAGCCTGCTAACGTTCGCCAGAAGAAATCGAAGACCAAGAAGCAGCCGCAGCCACACTAGGCCGAGGATCACCTTAAAGCTAACCGGAGTTGACGGGCTGCCGATAAGTCTTCTTAGGAATCTCAAATTCCGCGCAACCTCCTAGTGTCTCGTTGCCCGAGGTAGACAAAAACACTCGTGGGGGTCGTAAACGTTTATTGGCGAATCGTGGTACTAGGTAGTACCGAAATGTGCTGAGGTGACGCTAAACAATACAAGCAATAAATGCAGTAGCAAAGCGAGAGCGTGTCACACGCTTTGCGTGGGTTTGAACAGGACCCAGTTTATATATACGTCTGAGCGGAAAACCGTGCTCGGTAAAAAAAAGCAGAAGTAAAACAAAGAAGTATCACAGTTGGAGTCAGAGTTGATTGTGAAGAAAATAACAGAAGTAAAACAAAGAAAATATCACAGTTGGAGTCAGAGTTGATTGTGAAGAAAATATGAACGGAAAACGTACGACCACACGGTACACCTCAAGCTTGGTTCTGTGTGTTAAGTGCGGTTGCATATGCATAAGAAAAACAATAATAATAATGGTAACTGTACCAAGTGCATGCTAAGGTGAAATATGCAGGACGCGTCACTTAGAAATAGGTTGATTTTGTACAAAACTTATAGTCTACGTAATTGTTAAATGTAACGGGTTGTCGCAGCGTACGGCCGCTTCGATTTCTCCTGGTAACTGGCGCGGCAGTATCACCTGCTGAAGTAGG